GACTAAGTTCCTGCTTCGAAAGGTTTCCACGGATTGATTAATGCACTAACGGATGGTATTGTTCGACAGTTTGAAGGCCTTTAAAAGATTTTCTTTTCAAAATGCAGAATAGTGGGATAATTAACACAACTTTTAAACCGACTATCGTCCTCAAGATTAGCAATTTGTCTTGAAAAATGATAAAACTTTGGTGAATTTTTTTTTTTAAATATCGGGAAACCAACCAACGTAACACCGAGCGAAAGCAAGTGGAATGACATGGTTACACTAAACATTTTATGCAATCTGATGTATTTGTAGCCAAAAATGGCCATTTTCAGTTCAGCTTTGTCRAGCAAGAACATTTATCCTAACTAACTCAGGAAGCTTTCAAGAAGTTCTTTTAATTTGTATCGACTATTGCGTGCCGAAATTCCTGCCATTAACGATTAACCAAGAGAAAATGAATGAACTAAGAGAACGAATAAGCTCTTCGCTCTCATTTTCATGCGTTTTTTTATTTCGACTTTGGCTTGAAATGACCGTGTACTGGTCGAGCGCTTGGTAAAATAAATGTAAAGACCAGGAAGTTGAAGCAGCAATTTGCAAGTTTCCCATGGATTTCTTTTTTTAATTTTCTCTTGCTTAAACGCAATCTTTAACTTTGTGTATGAACTTTCCTTATTTTCACGTTGTAAAACCCTCAAAGAAAATACATCCGGCAATGAAATGAAACATAGCGGTTACCACGAAGCCAAAGCTGCTTTTACACGGATTTCGGTTTTCTATGCGTTTTCCTTGATTTTTTGTTCCCCCGGTGGAATGGATACTTCTTTGTGATGAGTTTTCTTCGAGTCGTTTTGGTCTCGGAAGTCTTTTTTCTATACGAATGACGTCGCACTTAAGAGCTCTATTGCTGGGTTTCACTTGACATCATTTCCTGTCTAGTGGGGAAAGTTCATCATCTGAATTGAAGTTTTCAATAGAATTCTTTCTGGTTGACAGCACATGGTGGTCGGTGTTTGACCACCATTTGAAGCAGATAATGAGATTCAAAGACTTTTATCAGCTGAGTGAAACCCAGCAATTCAAAATATTTCTGAGGGGGCGATGAGGTCCCTTTTTTAGATTCCTTAATACGTAATGTTTTCCCATTTCAGACCACGTGTCATTTCCTTGAGAATAAGATTCTTTGTTAGAGCTGCATCCATATTCATGTGTCTTCTCATGT